GTTCCGACATTGTCCAATAAGCTGATGTTTGTTGGCCAAGCTACTGAACAACTAAATTGTTGTGCACTAATTTATCCCACTTTTTGTTTCTTAATGATATTTTCACCAAGGAGATCATTGGACGTGGTATAAAAGATGGGGCTTTACTATGTGGATGACTTCAGCACTTTCCATTTGATGTCAAGCACCGACAGATTTTGTTATGGCACCATCGTATAGGACATGTATCTTTTGGTTATATGAGACATTTATATTCCGATTTATTTTCTATTTGTAAAGATTCGAACTTTCATTGTGACACTTACATCTTGGCCAAGAGTCACAGAGTTTCTTATCCTTTGAGTATGAATAAAAGTGTTGTTCCTTTTGCTTTAATGCATTATGATGTTTGAGGCTCTTCCCCTACCTTGACTACTTCTAGGTTTAGATGATTTGTGACGTTTGTAGATGATTGTACTCATATGACATGGCTTTCTGTGAAAAAGACTACAAGTGAAGTGTTTACTATGTTCAAAGCCATTCACAAACATATTGAAACTCAATTGTCTACCAAAATCCAAATCCTTTATTCTGACAATGAAGACGAATATGTCAACCATGATTTTCATATGTACTTTTAGATGCATGGCATTCTCCATGAAAAGATTTGTCCTCAAACTCCACAACAAAATGAGGTTGCAGAACTGAAAAATCGTCATCTTCTTGAAACAACCCATGCACTCTTGATTGGGGCACATGTTCCTCGCTACCACAGAGATGATGCCATCGTCACGGTTGTTTATTTGCTCAACTGTATGCCTTCTCGTGTCTTGGACTTTTGTACTTCGGTTCAAGTGCTTGCTCAACACGGGCCCCTGCCCTCTGTCTTGATGCTCCGACCACGAGTATTTGAATGTGTGGTGTATGTTCATCTCCATAAAAACCAGCAAAGCAAACTTGGCCCTTGTGTGCTTCACTGTGTTCTTTTGGGTAAGGCACTCATCAGAAAGGTTGTAAGTGTTATCATCCTCATTCTTAACACACGTAAGTTACTATAGATGTCACTTTTTTGGAGTCAGAGACATTCTTTCATGACCCGATGTCCAATTCTCCACTTTAGGGGGAGACACGGAATGAAGTGTAGACTTGGAGCCTACTAGAATATGGAAAAATCGAGGTCAACATAGAAATGAACAGTCGCTTCAAATAGTGAGCTCTTTGAACAATACGACCAGTTGCTCTGAAGAAATGACTAGTTGCCACAAACAGCAGAATTCGATAGTTGGGCTCGGACTAAAACGACCGATCGCCCTAAATGCAACCGGTCACTTGCATTTGAAAAGTCTATTGATTTAACTAATTTTGATTCTACCGAGAAAGAAGACGAAGATGAAGACCCCTTCTCTCATTCTATAGTACCAAACGACCAATCTCCTGAGAATATATTTAGCCCTAAAACTCATGTGAATTTAGTTGATGATTCTATTGGATACCAATTACCTTTCAGGCATAATCGTGGCAAACCACCAAACTGGTATTCTCGTGATATTCACAAATCATCGAAGTATCCAATTGTCAACCATGTGTCTGCTCAAGGATTGGCTAAACCACTAAAGGTGTTTGTGCATCAGTTGTCTACTATTGACATTCTTACTAAGATAACTGAAGCACTGAAAGATCTGAAGTGGAATCAAGCAATGAAGGAAGAAAGGAAGGCTCTGGAGAAAAATTAGACGTGAACACTCAAGACATTACCCCCAAGAAAAAGAATAACTAGATGCAGATAGGTGTTTACTCTCAAACATAATGTCGATGGTTCCATTGAACAAAACAAAGCTAGACTTGTGGTAAAAGAATACACACGGACCTATGGCATCGATTATGCAGAAATATTTGCCCCCGTAACAAAGCTTAACACAGTCAAAGTGCTCTTATCTCTCACAGCTAACCTGGATTGGCCAATCCATCAGTTTGATGTATAAAAATACTTTCTTGTATGGTGAACTCATAGAAGAAGTGTACATGGACATTTTTCCAGGATATACAACATCTACTTAGACAAGTGTGGTGTGCAAGTTGCGAAAAACACTATACGGTTTGAAACAGTCACCATATGCATGGTTCGGACGATTCACTTTAGCAACGAGGAATTATGGTTCAAGTAAAGCAATTCAAATCATACTATATTCTTGAAACATCATAAATGAAAGGTAACAACTTTAATCATTTATGTTGATGATAAGATTATTACCGGGAATGATGAACATGAAATATCTCGGCTGCAAGACCATTTAGCTATTGAATTTGAGATGAAGACTCTAGGTGGACTCAAATATTTCTTGGGGATTGAGGTGGCCCAATCAAAGCAAGGCATATTTCTGTCTCAAATGAAATATGTCTTGGACTTGTTAATAGACACAAGAATGATAGATTGCAAACTTGTAAACACTCCCATTTTTCAAAATCACCATCTTAGAGAATATTTGGATCAAGTTCCAACTAACAAGGAAAGATACCAAAGGTTAGTAGGAAGATTGATCTATTTGTCACATACTCGACCAGTCATCGCTTATGCAGGGAGCATAGTTAGTCAATTCATGTATTCTTCAAGTGAAGATCACATTAATGCAATTCTCCAGATACTTCAATATTTAAAGTCTGCATCTAACAAAGGACTTATGTTCTCAAAACATGGTCATATGAATATTGATGGTTACACAGATGTAGATTGGACAGGAAGTGTAACAAATAGAAGATCTACGTCTGGTTACTTTACATTAGCCGGAGGTAATTTAGTGATGTGGAGGAGCAAGAAACAGAAGGTAGTAGCTCTATCTAGTTTAGAAGCTGAGTTCAGAGATATGACTAAAGGAATTTGGGAACTCCTTTGGCTACGTAAGTTGCTCATTGAACTTGGGTATCGACCTATGTCTGCAATGAATCTCTTTTGTGACAAACAAGGCTACAATAGCTATTGCACATAATCCAGTTCAACATGATTGCACCAAATATGTTGAGGTGGATTGACACTACATTAAATAGAAGCTTGAAGCTAAAGTGATTCAGTTTTTGTTCGTAAATTCCGAGGATCCATTGACGGATATTTTTAACAAAGGCAATTTCGAATAGAGTGTTCCACAATTCACATGACCAGCTGGGTATTGGCAATATCTATGCACCAACGTGAGGGGGAGTGTTGGCTTGACTTTTGGACTCGCAGTTACTTCCTTACACACCAAGGTTTCCTATATTCAATGTAAATGATTTACTTTAATTCTTGATTTCCTACTGTAAATAGAATTTGGAGTTATTATTTTCCTTGACATACAAGTTATAAATACAACCTCCTACAAAGAGAAGAATACACAGAAAATTCCCACAAACAATATTTGCTTATACATTTCATATTTTGACACATTTGCCAACAAAGTAATTTCGAACCTAAAAAAGGTTAGAATTACAAGTCATGATGCAAGATTGGATGACATCTGCTTCCTTATTTATATATGGTGACGAAGAAATAACATTACCAGAACATGAGAACTTTTTAGATTGTCTGCAAACAGATAATCTTTGCTGTAGCTTGGACTATTTATACTATAGTATAGCTAGCCTGTAGTTTAGCCTGAATACAAAAAAGAAGGTAATAATAATAATATAAATAAAATCTTTACAATAAAGATTAGGACATGTCATATAAAACCTTTTCTTTTCTAATTTTGTGTGACATATTCTCATATTAAATTCTACCGTCGGTGTTATGCAATGATATAGTGTGCATATAAAATAATCCACATAGATTCAAAAAAGAAATGAAAGAAAAAATCAATCAGTTTAATAAGTAAAAAGATTAAGATTTAAAAAAAAAAATAGTGTGCTTATAAAATATCACATATTACTTTATAAATATTCTTTTTTGGGACCAAATTGCTATAACCATGTATGAAACTCAATCTATGCTGGATTGATATGTCCAAAACTTGCCCTTCCCACAGATTTTGACGTTTTGTTTGCTTTGCTATTTGATTCACAGACAACACTCCCTTGCCAATCTCGTGACCTTTTTAGTCACCATCTAAGCGGTGGTTTAATAAATTTGTCACTTTAATTATAAGCGCGCTTATTAAAATCGTTCGTCGAATAATATAGCAGTGTTTTAAATTCGAATTAACTCTAAACTTCATTTATTTTGGTCAAAAACAAAGAGTACAATATTAGCATTATTGTAATTATATTAAGTTAAGCAAGATACAAATCACATGACCCAATCTTGAACCCCAACCCACCATCCCTAAATTGTGCAAATTTTGAGTGTACTTATTGCTTGCAACAAAAGCAGCTTACACGAAAGCCGTGGACCAAACATAGCAAATCCATGTTATGCCACCCAAATTGTATGCGAATCACAACACATGCGAAGATGCAAGATCTCTTAGAACGTGGGGGCCCCACATTACAATCACAAATTTTTCCCACATGTAATCACATGATGGGTATGGTATGCCATCACAATTGTCACAGCAAATCGCCAAAAAAAAGAAATCCCACGTTCATTTCAAGAAAATGACACTATTTAATCCACCATTAATCCATCTTTCTTCCCTCTTAAAAGGTTTGAAATAAAAGGAAAAGAAAATCATTGCCCAAACTCAAAATGCAATCTTTTTAAATTAAAAATGACACGTGTCACAAACCCAATAAACCAATGAGGATAAGTAAAGTCCTCAATCAAATTGTTGAGGCTATTTTGGTAATAATGAATAACTTCCTTCTTTTTTTTAATACTTGTTTTTGTTTTCTGTTTTATTATAGTTGAAATAAAAATAAAAAGAGAGAAAAAAGATTTTTTATTTTTAGTTTTTAGTTTTATACATTTACCTTTCTCTTCTTTGGCCTCTATCATCTCTCATGCTCCCTCCTTTCTTTAACCAAAAAACAAAAAAACAAAAAACAAAAAACAAAAAACAAAGTCACTAATTCCTAACCAATCTTATATATAGACAACATAAGCACTAAGCACCAACAAAAAAATTCAAAACACTTGAGAACCAAACCAGAACTTGCTCTCATCATCATCAATGGCAGAGCTAGAGAACCCAATAGTGATGACCAAGATCATCACATTCCTCTCATCTCTGGTTCAAAGGGTGGCTGAATCGAATGACATCAATCCATTCCAAACCCAGAGAATCTCAGTCTTCCATGGCCTAACCAGGCCCACCATATCAATACAGAGCTATTTGGAGAGGATTTTCAAGTATGCCAATTGTAGCCCATCTTGCTTAATTGTTGCGTATGTTTATCTGGATCGGTTTTCTCAGAGGCAACCAACTCTGCCCATCAATTCGTACAACGTTCACCGGTTGCTGATTGCTAGTGTCATGGTGGCTGCAAAGTTCATGGATGACATGTAAGTGTGGTGAAGTTGAATTTTATTAGCTTATGATGAGCATTTGTTTGGAAAATCTCTTTGGATTTGAACTGTTGGTGTTTTTGAGTACTTAGAAATTTTTTGTCAAAGTTATTTATACGAGTTTATGTGGTCATTATCATTGTGTTCATACGAGTTTTGGAATATTCTGTTTCCTGCATGAATGTGGATGGAGATTGGATATGAATTCACTGGGTTTTTCTTTTCTGAGTCTTCCCTTATTAAGCTTGCAATGTCTCTGAGCTATAGAGTTCTCACTGTTTTCTGATCTGCTTAATTTCTTGCTTTGGTATCTTCATAATTTCATACAACTCTGTAATTACTTGGAAAAAGTTGGAGGTATAAAACCTCCTGATTTGGAATGATTCTATAAAAACTCAGAGAAAGAAAGTTTTAACGGGGTGTTAGTTGGATTGGCTCAGGCCTTTGACTTCAAACTCCCGTGGTACTCATGTGTGTGAGTTTTACCCTCTCTCCCCCTTCCTAACTTTGACAACCAAAAAAAAAAAAAAACACTCTTGCAAGGGGCTTGTTGCTCAAGTAATTAAGAGCACTTACCCCTGCACCCGAGGTCGTAGTCTCTTCCTACCTGGCTAATTATGTTTTAACTAAAAATCCAAATAATCTCAGCCATGTGTTACTATGGCTTTCCTATACACATGGAGTGGAGAGTCCACCAAGATGCACATGGTGACGTAATTTAATAATTTTAATCAAACAACATGATGAAGAAATATGGCTCATAGAAAAGTTTCTGTAATGTGAAAGCTATTTTTGTAATGGGATCTATTTGCTGTAGATTTATTGCCAGAATTGACTAATTTCTATTTTCATAAATGTGCTGTAATATTCAGGTACTACAACAATGCTTATTATGCAAAAGTTGGTGGGATCAGCACAATAGAGATGAATTTTCTTGAAGTGGATTTCCTATTTGGTTTGAGCTTCAACTTAAATGTGACCCCTTCAACCTTCACCACCTACTGCTCCTACCTCCAAAGAGAAATGCTCCTCTTGCAGCCTCCTCTAGATTCTGCAGATTCTTCTCTTAGTTTAGGCAAATCACTAAAGCTCCATTTGTGCTTTGATGAGGAGGAAGCCTCCCATCAGCCACAGCAGCTAGCTGTTTGATTAAAGCTTTAAAGGGTTGTTGCCTTTAAAATTTAAAAAAAAAAAAAAAAAAAAGGTAGTTGTTGAGGTAGTGATTTTTGTACTTTGCCCATATTTTTTGGGCTGGCAATATGAACATTAGATATTTCTGTCCTTTTTTTTTTTCCTTTTTCTTTTTTGGGTTTTGTAACTGAAGTTATTTGGCATGTTATGTACAGATGGGTCTTGAATTTCCAGTTTGGAAAAGCAATACCTCTAAATGACTTTTTTTTTCTTTTTTTTTTTCCTTCCCCAAAGTTAGGAAAAGAAAGGGATGAAAACTCACACACAGAGGTACTATAGAGGTTAGAACCCAAGACCACTTGGAAGCACACCAAAACCTGATTCAATCCAAATAACACTTCATTGTTCCTCTAAATGGCTTGTTTGGTTGATACTTGTTCTTATCTATAAATTTTAGTCTCGTCTTGACTTTTAGGTTGCCACAAGTGAAAAACATAGGTGGCCACTGGCCATGCAAGACAATTTGCTCATACTTGGTCACAATTTGGAGGTATATGAGTGGTGGGTGTGAAAGCTAATTAGGTGACATGGGTAGGACCGGTGAACAAAAGAATAGTTTGTGTCAAGAGAGTACTGTTTTATTTTATTGCATTCATATTTGGTGTGGACAGTTGTATTGATCTTGAGATGGGAACAAGGAACATGTGCAATCATGGGCCACTGGCTGGGGGAGAGAGAGAAGTTTAGAAATTAGTACTGATTGTAGAATTTGACAGGCTGGCTTAGAAATCATAAGAATGTTGTTCATATAATGGTTTTTCAACGTGGTTATATTGTGAGACTGTTAATTTGATCTATATAGTATAAATATTAATGTTTATTTGTCATATCGTTTAACATGTTATGTTGTCAAACTATTAATCTGGACGATATTTGAATAAAAATTCATATCGTCAAAACAGAGAGCATTCCTTGGCATGTGCAAGAAGAGTGCATAGAAGTTAACATAAAACAAGCACGTCTTGTGGTCATAGTTCTTGTCTAGAAAATGAGAGACGCATGATGCTTGTCCTTGGCCAGCTAGTTGTATAACCACTAGAAACTCATCTTAGATTTTGATACCGCTATAAAATCTGAGCTGGGATACATTGTAATTTGCAACTCCTGCCTTTTCTGTCCATTTCAACTACATACATCAAATCCATGTGGTAACCCAACCCTGCTCATGGACTCAGCTACACACACTCTGCAAACTGACAACACAATACATTGACCATCCGCCTAAGAAAAAGTACGAATTTTCCTGTCCACCACATGTTGTATGACCGTATGTTTATCTCTCTCATCCTGTACCTAACGCGATAAGATAAACCAATATGGTTGTACACAACCATTTGTATCTAAAAATGATTCTTTAAATACGACACACATTTCGGTTTATACATCTTGAAAACTTGGATAAAAATCCTTATTATAAAAGGCAGAGCAGCTGCAGTCAATAGGTAACGAAACTGGACAGCCTCATTTGGGGTGACAGCAAACACTGCAGAACCATAAGTCACAATCATAGACACTGTGGCAACCAAGACCTCCAAATGGAAAGGGAACCTGTGAGTAAGCGATATGATTATAAAGATAGCAGTGGAAAGAGCCAAGGTGTTTGATATCAAGAACACATAAAATGGTGCTTTGTGAGTTGCATAAATGGCTCTCCCTGCAGTGTGGCCATTCTGACTGTCTTGCCAAACACCTCCGGGAGGGTTGACGCCAGCTTGGAAGGTCACCGCAGTGATCAGTGCTGCAACTATTAGCAAAACGTTGCGTGCATCGCCTGGAGAATCATTTCCTTCGTCATATTGGAAGCTCTTCAACCAATTCCACCCTTTGTTTGGTGGGTTTGGGGCATTCGCCATTTTTTTTTTTCTATGAAGCTAGCTAGCGATGATGTATAAGACTCGGTTTCTAAGGTGTCTATATAAATAGCCTGTGGTGTTGCAAAATGAGTTGCTGCATCAAGCACTGGCTTTTAGGTTTCTTTCCTCTGGTCAACGTCAATGGAGAAGCAACCAGGGAGAGAAGAGGAAGTTTCTTTTGACTCAGTACATGAAATATGCGGCAGCACCAACAAATAAAAAGCCAAAACATGCACTCGCCCAGTCAAACTATGTATATGTAAAAACCCTTGTCTACGAAATCGCGTTACATTGAAACGGTATTTCGTGTTTCATTTGAAAAATAAGGTTTGGTGGGACTCAAAAACGGTGAGCAATGTAATATAATAAATGCAACAGACAGCAAACAGTAAATCAACGCGTTATGTAATCCAACTCATTCGTTTAGATTCCTGGATGGTTCAGAGAATTGGACAAGTTTTTGTTTTGTTGAACCGTTCAAAGTCAAAATAACAACAGTCTACGAATAACAAAAGCATGGTAGAAAGCTACCTTAACTCATCCGTCTTCTCTAACATAAGTAGTGAAGGTATATCTTCATGCCAAGCTGAAGTCGGAAGAAAGTTAATCAATCATTTGCTTCTTTTACCTTAGTTCAAATGAGAAGCATCAAGGAAGAGAAGTAGACGTTTCTTCTACAGGGGTACATAGAATTCACGGGAGCAGCTTCAAAGTGCCAAAAGGGGGAGAGTAAAAATTGGGTACTTCGACCAAAAAGATAAAAAATATTGGGTACACGAGACTGCTGCTGCACTAGGTCACACAAGCACGCAAAGCCTAATATGACCGTTGATGCATTGTGCTCCCCACTTCCATCAACAGCCAAGATCAGTCTCTATGGGCGTGCCCTGCTGGAAATATGTCTATCGAGCAAGTCAAAGCTCAGGAACAAGGGTTAGAATTCCCCGTTTAGGCATCCCTTTTAACAGGAAAACAACTATTTTAAATAAAATAAATGAATAAATAAGCCCTAAACCCTATGTTAGCCTATGAGTAACAAAAATAAGCCAAAACCCTACTTCATTCATCCATATTCTTAAATTTTTACATAAACGTCCATTTATACCTGAGACATCAATGTAAGGTCTCAAAGGGCAACATTAGCAAGTGTACTTTGAGATGGGAGGTGGTGTGACAACAATATCAGTATGTAGACAACTGGAAATCAGCTCCACACGAGCTAACATCACATGCACTACTGAGGAATGCGCAAAATTGAGTTCAAAACATCAAGTTGACTAAAATCCTAATTGCAGTCTCTTCCCTTTAGAGCTCCTTTTCAGAATCAAGCTGCACTAACAATAAAAACAATTAAATAACGTAGCGGTAGGTGATATATCGTCCTGCAGTCTCACTTGGTCGGACTATCTTCACAACTTGTCCACGCTTAAGCCCATAATATTTTGCAATTGGATCGGTCACCTGAATCCGAGGAAGCTGGACTCCATCCACCCAATATACACACACCAAAGAAACAATTTAGTGTACAAGTGGATTAAAGCCAGATAAGTACAGACTAAGATGTGTTTAGAACACAACCATGAAAAATCTCCAAATATGAGTAAAAAAGTTTAATATTTTGTCATGAAATGAGGTCACGCCATGTCTTACATAGCATCTAAATTTCTTAAATGCAATATTAACGACACTGTTCAGCACTGACCTGTGTTTCTTTCACAGTATACCTCTCCAGTAAAGTCTTCTTTTCCTCAGTTGTAAGCACCAGATGCTCAGGAACTAGCACATGCTCTTTAATATTCACCAACAATTCTGCCTCCTGAATCAATAGAGTTAATGAAAGAAAACGTTAATATCCACCAACACATTATTCTCATGTTGCAATTGTATTTATTTTATAGACTAAGGTGGAGACAATGTGACTGGAAAAGAAAACATCTACAAGCCAAGCTGAAGTGAAAGCTGTATTCCCAGAAAAAGTAAATCAAACAATGCAAAGTAGTTATTCAAGACAGACCTAGTTTTAGGCATCTCGGTTAATTAACATTATCCAATCCATCACTCTAAAGTGTAGGGCAACACCTATACAATTAAGAGCATTTGATCAAATAAATTGTCATTCTTTATCTTTAAAAGGCCCTTGGAATATAAACAAACTAAGCAGGCTACAGTGGTAACAGTGATCTTTCAGTGTATAGACTTAAATTTTCTGATACTAAGACATGCCCAAGTAAGAATGTCGATGTTTCTGATAGGTAAGGATTAATAGATTATAGTGACATTCAGGAGATTTCAAGAACATTTCATTTTAACCAAAATTTAAGCAATGAACGTCACCTGAAAAACCTCCAAGTGGAACTTTGAAGATATCTCACTGATACAGGTCTTTGCAAAGGGAGTCAGATTTTGTTGAGTAACCAAGACAGCTCTGAGCACATTCTCCGATTTCATGCGGTTAGTATAAGTCTTCATTGTCTTGACCCCAACCTTTGGTTCTTCAGGAAAAAAGACATAAATCTGAAACACAAGAATCAACAATTAGAGACGGATAACACTACATCCACTGCAATAAAAAGCATCAGGGACACACCTGATCAGAGCTATCACTTCGCTTAGTTTTATTGATAGTAAGGTCTTCCCTTTTCATGTTTTCGCCATATTTGCTCTTGAACTGTTCTCTTGTCATGTTGATCTCAAAATCTCCAACTAAGTAATTCCGATCTTTCAGCATTTGCATCACCGTCTTTCGAACTCTGTAAAGCCTCGTGATTTCTTCTTCAGGGTAAACCATCTTTGTCACTGATAGAGTACAAAAATTAGCTTGGTAGTTAGGTTTCTTTGGGATTATGAAAATTCAATTTCGCAAATGACTACAAAATCTCAGTTACACATGTAGCTACAAAAGCTGCTTTCCCATGCAATTGAAAACGAGATTGGTTATCGAATCACAGCCAAGCAACAACGAAATCAACTTAAACCAAAACAAAATTCAACAATTCCATTAACTTTTCTACACAAAAAGAAAAGGCCTTTGCTCTAGAAACCTTAGAAACGAGGACACTAGAGATGAATCAAGATGATTAGGGCATTTGATCAAGTAAACAAGAAAGAG